GTCAACACCGGCTGCTTGAATTTCCACAAAAGCACTGACTTCCTACTGTAAGAAATCAGTGCTTCTTGCGGAAATACTATGCTGCTCCCGTTCGGGCAAAAGTCCCTTTTGTGCAAAAGGGCCAGTGTAGACAGCTCAGATTTGTTTTGTGCAAAAAAGCCCCGATCATGAAAATACCAATCTAGACACTCTTTTCCCAAAATGCTTTTAACGGAAAACTTTTCCGTTAAAAGCATTTCCGGAAAATCATGCCAATTTAGACGTAGCCGAGGTGTGTAAGTCCCAGCTTGACCAAGCCCTGGCTGGGCTGATTGAGTTGGGTTGGTCCTTCTTTGGGCAGGGGGCTGGACTTGCTGGCTCCTGAGGTCTCTGCCCGCCCGCCTTTGCCCCCCAGTGAAGGCTGCCATATCACATCTGAAATTCAACTCAGGCGTTTGCCAGCGGGCTAAGGAGCCCTTCAGGGGAGTCTGGGGCTCTCTCTCTGTGCCAGGGAAGTTTCACTGCTGCCGAGCGCTTCCTTCTCAAAGGACAAGACTCTGTTCAATAAATACCCACACGGGAGCAGACAGGTGGGGTCTGAAAGCGGAGCCGCTGGAGGCCAGCGGCCTGGTAAGGCCTATGTTTGACCAGCGGCACGTTCCAAGGGTGGTCTCCTCTGGTTTACCCTGAGTTCAGTTCTGGCCTCCAAGGACGGGCTCTCTGTCAGCGGCCTCCCCCGTCCCGTCTGGCTCCCTCTCTCCAGCTCTCGCTCGCGCCCACACAGGTTTGACACGGAACGACAAACGCGCTTCTGATTAGCCAAAAAAGCGAGGGGCGGGATTTGAAAGGGTGGAAGTAGGGCAGTGTGAGAAAAGGCCCCCTTGCCCTCCCCCTCCTCAGTGTTCTCGAAGCTAGGACAATAAATACCCCTTACAACGCGGAGGATTTGGTGAGCCCCGGCACAGTGCAGGGACACAGCCGGTGTCCTCAGACAGCATTAAACAATAAATAAGTGACACTCGGTGTCTTGCCCGGTTGCCGTTGCACCGGCAACTTTGGGGGACGGGCAGAGAGTTAGTGGTTTAAATAAAAAGAAAGAAACCAACTCTCGGCTGCAGCGTGGGCCAGGTACGGTACCCCAGCCCCACCAGGCCTCGCGGGCGGCTCTTTCCAGAGCCTAGCCCGTCTTCGCAAGGGAGTCTCAGGCGCCTCCAGGGAGAAAGCCCTCCCCCCGGCATTGCGGCTT